AGAATGGGGTCCCCAATATTGCATTTCTACAGGTGAAAACAGAAGATAATTAAGTTTAAAGTCATATCCTGAAGAAATTGTCAGATTAGAATTCAAACACTCACTGCATCGAAGACCAATACCTGAAATTTATATGCAAGGAAATTCTTTTCATTGGCAGTTAGAAACCTAGAAAGTTAACAAAGAGTCCTAGAGAATTTGAGTAAGGGGAAAGAAAGGCTGAAAAAAAATTGAGCAAGAGATATGAAAGTATGGAAAAAGAAGAGCTGAAGGAGGGGAGAGGCTGAATATACTTAACCTTGCTCCTGGTAGACCCTTTTGGAAGAATTACATGGATATTAAAGGTATTGCAGAATCCACAGAACCCTTTAGGTTAAGTCCTTACCTCTGCCCTTGACCCAGATAACTCAAGAATACAGAGATATGGTCAAGGTCAGAGAAAGTTTGTTTTGGTTGGTTTTGTGGTGGGTTTGTTTGGCTTTTTTTCCTTTTTATCAAATATTTTTTCTAGTTGATCCAACTGCATCTGTGCTTTGGTTCATGAAACTGGCTGTCCATTTCTTCACAGCAAGAGAAAGATCTACATCTGAACATCCTCTTAAATGTTTTTGTTAAGAGTAAAAATCAAAGATGTGTCAATTAGAGAGAGAAACTCTCCAGGTGATGATCTCTGGTGTATGGTTGTCATGGAATCTTTGTCCCTGCTGGATTTATACCACACTTTGCAGGTCCCTGCTGTATCTATTTCCCAGTTTTCTTAATGAGTTTGGAGGCATTTAACCTGTATATGACTCAAGGGTCAGCTACACCAATGTCCTCAATTTCTGAATGAGAAACATGAGGACAGAGAAACTAAGAGATTTGTTCAAGATGACACAGACGCGTAAGAACAAAATCCAACAACAATAGATTACAAAAGATGACATCTCCTTGTTCACTAAGCATTTCAGTTATGGTGCTAACATGTATTTTCTCAAATATCTGATCTGAATTAATTATCACAAAAGCTTATGAATTAGTTCACCCAGCATAATGTTTTCTAGTCTCTCCCAAGTTATGTAATATTTTCAAAATCATTTCTCCTGAGTATTATATAGTATTTAATTGTGTGAATGCACAACAATTTCTCAATCCATTTGGTTATGGTTCGATATTTGGGCTGTTTCCATGTTCTTGTGATTGTGAATAATGTTGCTCTGAACATTGGTGTACAACGCTCTATTTGTGTCTCTAATTTCCTTTGGGAATATTCCTAGAAATAGAATAGCTGAGTCATATGGAATTTCTATGATCCGTTTTTGAGGAAGCACCAAACTGCCTTTCAGAGTGCTTGTACCATTTTGCAGTCCCACCAAGAGTGTATGAGAGTCCCAAGATCATTATTGTATAAATAGAAGTATGACTAGTAAGATATGTATTGGGACCCCAGGGGAGATAGGATGGGAACAGTGGCGTGAGGATAGGTGGGGGTCAAAATCACAGGGTTGCACAATTTTGGGGGTAGAGGGAGGGGTAAAGGCAATGGGACAGCTCTGGCAGGTACCTGAAAAGACAGGATAATGATGGGCATAGTCCAATGGTGATTCATTTTATAAAACATAAAGAATGGGAATGATTGTATGAAATACAATGTGAATGAAGAATAGTGTGAAACACATTGTATATGAACTTTTTCAGGAAACCAATATCAAATAAAAATTTTTAAAAAACAAAAGAACAAACTACATCTTATATTGGTGTAAACAGCTCCTATGAAGCAGATGCGGAATAAGTTCCTACATGTCAGTAGGGAAATTCTTGCTGATAGGCTACTGAGGAGCCCTGCTGACCTAGTGTATTGCCTGTTGGGCTTACTCAAAGGTCAACAGTTCAAATTCATTAGCTGTTCTCAGGAGACAGGTGAAGAAATCTTCTCTTATAAAGATTTAGAAGGTCTCCATAACTCAAAACTGAATGCATGGCAATGGGTTGATATAAGTAACTACTTTTTATGTGCCAATGAGCAAACTTTAGTTTTTCTTGACAGGTAAGAAAAATGTCATTTCAAGGAATAGAATCCTGTTGCTATCAAACCAAACTTGGTCTTTCAGGCAATTCAAATCCACCAGCAGCAGTTCCAAAGGAGAAAGCTGGGCAATCTTCTCTCATGCAGTTTGCAGCTTTGGAAATTCAAGGGAGGATCAACTATGAGTCAGTCCCAATTCCGAAGCATTGAGGGGTTGTGTTTTGGGGTGCATTTCGTTGCTTTTTGGGAGGTCGGGGTTTTTTTTCTTTTTATATTTGTAGGTTAGTTTAAGGGAAAGGGTTAGAAAAGGCACTTGTTTTTTGGCACTTTTAAGAGGAAAAGGCAGAATTATCATAGAAAAGGAAGTATTACACAAGTCAGGTTTGGGGCTTAGTCCTCCCTGGATATACACAGTTGGTTAGGTTCTACTTATATGGTTCCCCTAATACAAATTAATGATTTAATTCTTTAAATTGAATAACTTCTTAGCATAGTTTTGACCAAGATTATAGAGTTTAGGCACTGTGACAGCTCAATGGAGAAAATGGGTTTGGTCAAATGTACCATTTGTGGAACAAATCAAACTTGGTAAAATTTGAGATGGATCATTTGTCTACACTAGTAAGAGAATTAGAAGACTTCTAGGCCCAAATGTCCTATCTGTAAATTGAAGGTTATAGTTTCTTATCTTTTAAACTTCATACATGAACAGGAAATTCAAGCCTTTGTAATATGAAGTGTAATTTTTTATATTAGCACTAACATAATATGTCTTCAATATTTTGTTATTCCTTTTGGAATCTAAACCTCCAAAGCACACTTGAATCTTGTGATGCCACTACTCCCTTCTCAAACTCAAGTCCCTAGAGTCAGCAGAAAGTTCAAATTTCCTGGACTGAAGGCTTGCATGCTAATATGCACCATGAAAGTCGTCATTTGTGATGGTATTTTACAGTCTCCAAGGTACTACCATGTAGCACCCTTCAGGGCTACCTATGACCAGGATGTACTGACCTCTACCTTCTTTCTAATATTCAGAAATCTTCTCAAACCTTCTCAACCTTGAAAACACTCTCCTCCCCTCCTACTCTTTTTATCTCTCATATAGTTTCTTACATTCTTCCACTAGATAGAGAAGTAAATGAAGAGAACAAAATATTTTGGAAGGAAGTCCAGCTAAATCTCAATCTCTCTCAATCACTCTGCTTTTATCTCTTTCCCTCCCCAAAGCACACTACCCCACCCCCCGCCTCCTCTCTCTCTCTCTTCTATTTCTCCACTGTTAGTTTATACCAAAATTATTAAAAACATTCCTTTAAAACGATTTTTTAATTTTTTTTACTTTTTATTAGAGCATAAGTAAATGTTGTGCAATTAATAACAAATAAGGGAAAAAATGTGTGAAAAAAGAACACAATATTGAATATACCAGATACTTGCTATACATAGTTTCATATGTATAATATCTACTAAATTATCTACCAAACATAATCACTTTTTACTTCCTTGGATTCTAATTTTGGAAATTTCATTTTTTAAAACATTATTCGGTGTCACTGTGCCTGATGACTTGATGATGGCAGCAGAGTATGATGTCACAAGAAACAAGGAAGACAAGTTTTCACTATTTAGTTACTCATGTTATCTATAGAAGGTTTTTACCTCCGTCTTCCTGAAAGGGATAATAATACTCCCCAAATATTATTCTCACGAAACTGAGCTTGTTGCTCTCTTTATAAGCCTCTTGAGGCCCGCTTTGATCTCCTTATTCCTCAGACTATAGATCAGAGGGTTTAACATGGGGATGACTATGGCATAGAAAACTGACAACGTCTTGTCTTTATTCATGGAATGACTAGAGTTGGGTTGCACGTACACAGAGAGAGCTGTGCTGTAGTACAGAGTCACAGCCGTCAGGTGGGAGGCACAGGTACTGAAGGCCTTGGAACTACCTTTGCCTGAGGACATCTTCAGGATAGCAGCAGCAATGAAACCATAGGAAAAGAGAATCACAAGCAAAGACCCAAAGGCAATGAAAATAGCTACCAGAAGAAGAGTCATTTGGCTGATGAAAGTATTGGAGCAAGCCAAGGACAGAACCTGGGGCAAATCACAGAAGAAATGTTGGATGATATTTGGTCCACAGTAGTAAAGACTGAAGCAAGGGACTGTGTGAAATATACTACTAAGGAAACCGCCTACAAATGCCCCAGCAACCAACTTCCCACAGAGATCAGGAGCCATGATGACTGAGTACTGCAGAGGGTGACCAATGGCAACATATCTGTCACAGCCCATGACAGCCAAGAGGCAGCACTCACTCAAACCCATCCAGGCTGTAACGAAATACTGAGTAGCACAGGCCACAAAAGAAATAGTTTTTTCCTTTCTCAGAAGGTCTGAAAGCATCCTTGGGCTGATTGAAGAAGAATAGCAGATGTCTATAAATGACAGGACACTGAGAAAAAAGTACATGGGTACGTGCAGGTGGGAGTCCATCCTGATTAGGAGGATGAGAACTAGGTTCCAGACAAGGGTCACAAGGTAGACTCCTAGGAAGACTGGAAAGAGAATAAGCTGCAGGTCTTTGTCTTCTGAGAGACCCTGAAGAATAAACATGGTCACAGAAGAGTGGTTTCCGTTCCTTTCCATGGACCTGCTTGATACCATCTGCTGAAGAAAAGATAAGAGAAAGATTGCTTTATTTCCAGAAAACAAAAAGGACTAATTTTTTCCCAGTCAAGTACTGGACTAACTAGCACTAATTTACCCATTTTGAGACAATGAAATCACATTTTAAATATAATCATCAAGTTTACTTTCATTCATTAATGTTTGCTCAACTTGGGTATATAGTAACTGGTTTTCTTATGGGACAAAGGACATTTAATAAATATCATTAATACATTTTCTTCTAAAATATCTTTATTTCCTATTTTCCCATGGCATATTTTCCAAATATATAAGATTTGAAAGTAGGCCAAATTAAGAAAATAGTGACATTCCTTCATTTATTGAGATGCTCCTTTTTCATATGCACATCAAGGAGCCCGGAATAGGTACAATTTAAAATCTTCTTGTGAACCTGGCTTTAATTAGTTTGTTGTCGTTGTTCTTGTTAAGAGTAATAGATAACTCATAACTACCCTATAAACAAAAGACCTGGATACTTGTATAATTTTTGTCCTTTCTCCAGGTTCATAGAGTTTCTGGAGGCAAGCTATTTCAGACGTGGTTGCAACTCCTGCTTCCAAGATTGTTTGAATCGGGGAGCTCCACCAAACACTGTCCACCTTGAGTAATCATTCTCACATTTGACACATCAGTGTCACAGTGTTCAACTTCACAGCAACCTCTTGTTACCTATTTACAGCAAGTGACAGACCAGGGCTATATGACCTAGAATAACGTTTGACCAAAAACAATTAAAAACAGTCCTGAGGGCCTGCAGCCCTGGTCCTACAAGATTTTAGCTACAGCCTCAGTAGGCTCCACCCTTACTTACACTTAGTCTAAGGCTCAAGGGCAGCCCACCCACTTTTGAAGGGCAAAAGAACAGTAACACACAACTAAAAGAATCCCAGAATCTTCCCTTGCCTGGCTGCTACCAAGATGAGCCGCTATCAAGATGCCAGCCCTCCCACCAGTTAGCCGACTTCCAGAGTGGAGGGATATTCCAGTCCCCAAGCCGTGTCATGGATTTTAAGCTACAGCTTTGAGCAGGCTCCACCCTTACTTACCCTTAGTCTAAGGCTCAGGGGCCACACACCCACTTTTAAAGGTCAAAAAGAACAGTAATACACAACTAAAAGGACCCCAGAAACGTCCCTTGCCTGATTGCCACCAGGACAAGCCACCATCAAGATGCCAGGCATCCTGACAGTTAGCTGACTTCCAGAGTGGAGGGAGACCTGAATCAGTTTACAATGAACAATTCTCAACACTTCTAAAAGATCTTGTCTATTTAATGATAACTGTAGAGATCTTAGTAGGATGGTGTGAACAGTCCCTCAGTAGCAAGAGAAGCACTTGATAATGGATCTGACATAACAACTCTTGAAAGCCTCCTGATAAATGAAATAGAGGTTTAGAGAGGTATAGAATTTCCTTTCTTTCACATACAGACTTTCCTTTCATCAAAATAAAAATACTTAAGAATTCAGTTGTCCAAAATAGTAATTGTTGATCTTCTTTGTGTCCTTTAGAAGATCTATGTATATTTATGTTCCTGCATCTAACAGTAACCAGCGATTCCCATCTTTGCATAGAGTGTTTATGGATTTTTAATCATGTTAAAGTCTAGTTTAGAGATTTCCACTTTAGAGACTTCTGCTGGGGAGACTGACTTGGATTTTTTTATGATTCATTGTTAGGTAACAGGCATAATTAGGTTGGAAGATTTAGAGAGAATATAGAGTTTCTAAACATTTCTTTCCTTCACATTGAAATCAATTTAAAGAGACAAAGAAATGTTCGAATTGATTATAACTAACAAAAATATAAAGGAATGGATGATTAGAATCCACATTTATGACAATAAATAAAAACTCAAAGGGAATTGGGAAGAGGAGGGAGGGAGGAAGGAAAATGTGTATGAATGAGTGAATAGTGAAAAAAAAAATACTTATCTATGCTTAGAAGGGTAGAGGGGCAGTGCAGGAGAGGAAGAACCCAGGTTAGATGGAATGAAATGATAAATGGAGCAATAGGATTAGATGTGTTGGAGTCAGTGAGAATAGCTTAGGATAGGGCAAGGTTCAGAGCTGTAGTACATAGAGTTACTATGTATGCGGGCAACTCGACAGCACATAAAAAAACAACAGCGAATTTGTTAACAAAGGATCAATCTAGGACTTTGCCCAGGACAATTTCATCTACTCTTGCTGTCTTTGCATTAACAATTTGTGATGTCTTTTACTTTTGAAGATGTAGTGAGTCAAACTAATAATACAAACATTGGAGCTTGTTATAAGTATTAGCTAAAACGAGATTAATTCCAGTACTTTAAAAAAATTATGAACAACCCAGTGGTAGATGGAATTTGCTCCAGGACTTAAGAACCATAAATGACATAGTTGAACCTCTACATCTTGTGATTCCTAACCTTTATAATATAATAGAAAAAGTACTAGTCAATAGGCCTTTTATTGTAAGAACTACCTTCCCTCTGTAACTTGATTGGTGCCACTATTAGAGCCTCTACCTGGAATATTATTGCTTTTCAATTTTTGACTCATGTACTTTTAACTTGTTAGTTAAATTTGTGTCTTCTAGGCTGCAACACTTCCATATTACATCTTCAAGGACATGAAAATGCACGGCTAAGTGCAATTGATAACAGTGCATCTAAATTCCAAAATCAATCTCCATAATAGTCTATGTGTTTCCTATTGCCAAAGGGGCCCTTTAGAGTAGTGAGAGAAGATCTTCACCCTGAAACCTACAGCATCCCTTTCCAGCAGGAAGTAGCTAAGAGAATATGCCGTCTTCTTTTCCTTATGAATCAGGATGAAGTCTCTCTCAAGGAGGAGTGATAGGGAATGGCAAAGGACACACTGACAAAGGAGATTAATCAGAACTGGCTTTGACAAGCACTATGGCAATTTGACAATTAAAACAGACTTTCGGAGGGGGGGGGAAGAAGAACTAACTGGGGAGGAGGGTTAGAGAAAATAGTGCAACAATGAATGAATGAAAACCCCAAATCTCTGTAAATGTTCATTAAAATTAATAAAATTTAATTAAAAAGTGATGAGGAAGACTTTTGAGGCTGCTAAACATTGCCACCCATTGCCCTATTTGGCTTCATTATAATTCTAGAAATATATTAATGTTCTCCCAAGTAAAACATCCTTTATCCTCCAGGCCTACAATTGAGTGACAACTGGGTTTGGTTTTGATTTTTCCCCCCAACTTTTGCCTTTGATTGCCTATAAATATGTACTGGCAATAAGTGAGTTTGACTGTGTGAATCATAACAAATTATAGGTAATATTGAGGAGAATGAGTGTCTCAGAACATTTAACTGTGATCATGAGAATTCTATGCATAAACCAAGGAAATTCTTGGAACAGAATGAAGGAATATGTATGGTTTAAAATAAGAAGGCCTGTTTTTCAGAGGTCCTTTCTCCATACCTATTCAGTCTGTGTGATAAATCACTCAAGAAACTGGACTGCATAAAGAAGAATGTGGCATCAAGAGAAGAAGATTAAAGAACAACTTGCACCACAGTCACGATACAACTTTGCTTGATAAAACTAGTAGGGACTTGAAGTGCTTGCTGCAGAAGATCAAAGACAATATTAAAGACTTTATTAAGGATTACATCTCAACACCAAGAAAACAAAAATCTTTACTATTGAACCTACCAGCAACATCATGCTAGATGGAGAAATGTTTAAAGTTGTCAACTATTTCATTTCACCTGGATCCACAATAAAAACCCATGGTAACAGCAATCAAGAAGGTAAAAGATGAAAGGAACATGACCCCCATCATGCTGCAATCCCCAACAGATCACACGCCCCGCCAGATGGTGAATGCTGCCTGTCTGCCAGTGCCACTGAATCATGAGTCACACAGTTACAATTTGTGTGAGGTTTCCTCACATGCCCTCCCAGACAACTGGAATCTGAGTGAGGTCCCCACTTGTGCCCACCAAGTGAGTGTCTGCACACTTGCCAGCCAAACATGCTTCTGTGCATGTACCCACCCTACTCCTGTGCCTGCCTTGCACCACCGTGCATCTCTTCACATCCAGTCAACTAACAACTTTAATCTGGAGCACCTTGGTTTGATTTAGCGGCACAGAGAAAAACAGGCAGGGTAGCTGCCCCACCCTCTTCTGGAGTGGTGACTTCAGATGAAGAACCTATCATTCCTCAGGCATGAAAAACTCTACCACAGCAATGTCACATAAGAAGCAGGATAGCTCACACCCTACACAGGGGCAAAGCAAGCTGTCACTGCCAAAAAGTGACACAGAATCAATGGATTTTCTGAAGCCAGAAAGTCTAATGGACATTTCTGACACATAATTTATAAGAACAATGATTGAATATTTTCAAAGAGTGAAAGACAAACCTGAAGAATCATGTATATTAAGGAAAAGGAGTCTTTGTTCTATCAGAACTTTTAGACTGATGAAAGAAATTTTTCTCTTCCCCACCTTTTTCTTTTATGTTTTTCCAACTGATTCTTGTTTGAAATCACTTGGATTATTCATCCACTTTGGCTGTATCTGTTAGCATAATTCTGGTAAGAATCTACTGACCTTGGAGTTGAAGCACCTCAGCTTAGCAAGATGAAGAAACTTAATCTAAGGCTCTGATCCAGGACCATTTTGTTCCTTGCAGAATAAAAGCTTTTTTGTTGATAGTAATGGGATCAATATACACCACTGTACCTGTGATCAAAGGGGGTTGCAAGCCTTAAACTTAGAGGCCTTCAAGGAGAGCTCTCAATTTAGAGTAAATCCAAATCACTGAGGATTCAGAGACAGGAAAGTGAAAGACAAGTCTGTGTGCAAGATATTCTAGGAAGCATGAGACAAAAATGCATTGTCCATGAGAAAATGTTTTACACAAATGGTCTTTCTGAAAGGAGGTAAGAAGTAAGTGTTCTTGAAATGTTCATTAGTCATGCTTAACTTTGTTTATTCTCAAACT